GATGACCCATCTCCTGTTGGGCCTGTGGCTGCCTCCATTGACCCCCAGCCCTAAATTTCCCAAATCCCGTGGGCCTAGGCCTCCATTGACCCACAACCCTAAATTTCCCAAGTCTCTGAGGATTCAAACGTGATCCCCTCCGCTCCCCCAATCTCTGCAATTGAGCTGTCCTCCGAAATCCTTGCCACGCATTCCGTCCATGATTCACGCCTTCCAAAACCGGCCGATCCGTAACCGTAGAACCACCTAACGCCGGCGCAGCAACCACCACTGGCCCAGTTTCCGACTAGATAGACAGCATATAACACCGTGAACCCCATCAGATTGAAATCTGCGACGGATACCCACTGGCCTGGCTACGCACCTTCAACGGAACACACCCCAGCATCTCCACCGACTCATCGATCGCCACAAACCCACCATATCTGTTGCCAATCTCGCGAAACAACTCAGGACTTCAAAGGTGGATTGGAAAGCCCAAAATTTGTACCCAGTTATTGGATATCGAAACTGGTGCCCCGCCATCCGCACATAGCGAATCCGGCGACCACCAGCTAAGAACCATATCACGCCCAGCTATCGTCCACTGCCGTCGTATCACACTCTTAGCCTCATGCCTTGATTTGAAGACAAAGAGGTAAAATTGCCCTCCAATTCCATAAACCTCCACTTCCCCTGACGATTTCCACCATCGAATCACCCGATTTGCGACTACCAACGTATCCAAACCTTTTGCCCCCAATACCCCCACCCTTCCCACTACTACCATCACTCTCCACCCAATCCCAGCCATCTTCTCCCCATCCAACAACCCTCTTCACCAAAAAACTAGCCACCACTGCTACCATAGACCTCTCCAACCCCTCCGTGTCGCTACCCGAAACCCCCAATTGCCATTGTTGTGAAATTCAATTTGGTGACTTGTGCTTGGTGGAAGTGGAACATGTGCACGGAGCAAGTTCAATATATTTCACTTACAATGGGCACAAGTTCAATAATCATTATCAATGATATGGTCAACAATTTAAATTCCAGGATTTTATGCTGCCAAATGCAACCTAAGAGTTGCCTCTGAGCCTCATCAAAAGTAGTTTATTACAACCTTTGGGGACCTTTCTATTATTTCTTCTAGATTGAACTATGGAATTGAGACCAAAGACAGCAGACCCGATGTTGGAGAAGGAATGGGCTGCTTTATGGGCTTAGGGTTGGCCATGCACTCATTCCTGCGCTACTAAAATAGCGTGGAAAAATAATCAAAATTTAAAGAATTGCTGCTTTCGATTTTTCTTGGAAATTTTTATTTCAAACTTTTATTATTCTTAATATTATAATAAGATCTTAAAGATTGTCAATACCCATTATCAATAAATTTTATTTGGATAAATTAAATGATCTTTTTGAAATTAGAAGAAAATATAACAAACTCAACAGTTTTGACATAATTATGCCGACTTCCTCTCTTCTTTTTTTTTTGTATGGGTAAATGTAGATGTATGAAAATATAAGGATAAATAAGAAAAACTATACATTTCAATATAAAAAATATATATATATATATTATTTTTTCATTCATATAACTAACAAATTATTAATGAAAATGAGCTAAGTGTTAGATGAATTAAATTTTTTAAAAATCCTAATGTAATTATGATAAAAATTGTAAAATTTACTGTATTTTTTTTCAAATTTGAGAAAAGATTTTATTTTATTTTGTGGATAAATAAATAAATAAATAAAAAGAAGAAAAGTTGGGCTTAAAATATACGTGTGTTCCAGGCCCAACTCTACGGATCACTTCAGTCAATCAACAGTGGCTGTTTGTCCTTTTTAAATCCATTAATTTCAAGTGGGTTTAGATCAGTGTTTGTGATTCACTTCAGTCAATCACTATAGTTTTTATTTTTATTTTATTTTCAATTAAAATTGTTTTTTTTATGATTTTTGTAAAAAAAAAAATTCTTGTGAAATCGTTCATAGTTTATGTTTGGAAAGTTAAAACTGCTAGTCCTCCAGCAAGCAGCTTACATCAGTGGTTGACATGGTCAGCTTGTGCTTGTCAAGTGTTTTTCTCACGAACATGATTTTTTTTTTTTTTTTTTTGTCTTTTCTTTCTCTACAAATTTATATTTAAATTTAAAATCAAACACAAGTATGAGATGTGTGTACTAGAAATGCAAGTACCAACAATACTCCAAAAATTACATAAGAAAATGCTAAACATACACAATATTTGTACAAGTGAATGATGTGGCAATACATCTATTTATTTATTATTTTTTTACAATTTTGATCTACTGTAGTGGGCATTTTAATTTTCATTAAACAGATATCATATAAATGCGTCACATAATGGTATATAAATTATATTTGTACAAACGAGCTTAATTTGCTAATACCAAACGGGGCTTATAATATCATGAACCCAGAAGCCAGTGGTCCATTGGTTAGCTTTCATAATGAGTGACGACTCTCTTGATTTTTTCTTTCAATAATACGTGAGAAATCGTTGTGTACCTTTCACCCAGACGTACACATATACACAAACAATACAGAAGATCAATTCATAAAAAGTTAAAAAGTACACTTATTTAGAACATTCCAAACCACTCCTAAGAATTAAGGTCTTATGTTTGAGTTACTTTAGAAGACTACTGGAGGTTTTTAATTTTGGAGTTTTGGGATTAAGTTGATTTGAACACCTGGTTAAAAAAAAAAAAAAAAAAAAAGGGACAATTATTAAAAAAATCATGAAGTTTGAATAAAGTTTAGGTTTTTAATCTTGTCAACTTAAACTCTAAATTTTTGATTTATTTTTAATCTAAATCATTCTTCTATCTTCGTTAAATAAAACCAATCAAAAAAGAGTATTATAGTCTTTAAACTCAATCTCAATGTAAGTATACATAAAATATTTAAAATACATTTTTCATTTAGTTTAATGACTGAAATATTATTTTTTTCATCAATTTTACTCGAAAATAGACAAATGATTTAGATTAAAAAAAATCAAAAGTTTAGAATTTAAATTAAAAATATTTAAAATTCATGATTTATTTTATTATCAAGGTCAAACTCTGAGATTTTTTTATTTATAATTTTTCAAAAAAAAATAATTCAAACTAAGGGGGGCAGCATGAGTGACATTTCATTCGATGGACACACACCTCAAAAACATGGCCAATAAAGAGACCCATTTTGGTTGTTATTACATACAAATAGACATAGTATTTGCTTTGATTCGGAAATTTTAAATGTGAATTGGGCAATGAATTGGGGATGCAGAGAGAATGAGAAAAAGATGTTTAACAACTCACTGTTGCTTTCCACCAACCCAACTCTTTCTCTCTTTTTTTTTTTGATGAAAGCTCACCTTCCTCTGCTCAAGAAATAGTCAAAAGTTGTTCCATAAAACTAATAAATGTTACTTAATATATGGTGATGATAGAAACTTAAAGAATTAACAATTCTCAACCACAAAAATACTTTCTTTTCATGTTGCAGTTGTTTGTGAAATCAAATTTTGTTATTATTTTATGTTATTGTGTTTTGATTCAATGAGTTTGGCATGTCCACATAAGGCTTAGCAGCCCTTTTCACATTTTGCAACATATCCACACGCTAATGTGGGGAGGATTCAGTGAGACACGTCTCCATTATTAGGGGTGCAATTTACCTGAGTTGGATAGGATTAAGGGATTGTTTAAATCTAACTTGAGATTTAAGCGCGATTACCATCCCAAGTTTGGCTGTTCAAATCAAGAGAAATTTTTGTATACTATTATGTGATATTACTTTTCACCAATTACAAATATATATGTCTCTTACTTTTCTTCAAACACCTAACATATAATGGACCCAACTATCAAATCCAATCACAATAGTAGAAAGTTTCACGTGACATCTACTTTATTGGCAAAAAAAATCCTCATAAGCCTAATCTGACTAAATAAATTGATTTGGGGTTAGGTCTAAGTCATCCACACATTTGAGTTGAATTGTTTAATTAATTAATTAGCTTTTTGTTTTAGTTTTGTTCAATAAGGCTTGTTATTATTTTTTTTTTCGTAACATTAAAAAAAAAAAAACTTCAATGACATCGTGTCTTCATTAACATGTAGTATAATTACAATAAGAGTCCAGCTTGTCTCAAGTTGAGATCAAGACTGGACCCGTCCAGTTCAACCCATGGGGCCATTTTTTGGGCCCTTTCTAATAATCTGAACCGTTCAATGTGTAGAACTCGTCGAATACTACATGTCTGTAAAAAATCACGTTGATCGGATATCAATAGCTATGTGATCAAATCAGTTTTGTATAAAAAAAATGGACGGTGAAACAATTAACGGTTAATAAAAACTGTTTTGTTCACATAGCTATTGATACCCGATCAATGTGATTTTTTACAGGCATATAGTACTCGACGAGTTCTACACATCGAATGGTTTGGATTATCAAAATGAGACCTGTGGTGAGCCCCCCTGCCCCAACAGCACGGTCCAGTCCGATCTTGAACTGGACCAAAGCCACTGCCTTACAATAAAACACTAAATAAGAAGGGTGAATCTTACAATGCAATGTGGTAATTACCGAATGTGTTACACTGATAATTATATTTGCATGGTTTGGTTCACTCGTATAATGTCACTGCTGTATTAAAGTTTCTCTCCACCATTTTGAAGAAATTGCAATTCTTTTCAAAAAATAATTATAAATTTATGAAAAATTTTTATGATTTAACTATTAAGAAAATACAATTTTAAAATTTTTTTTTTTTTTTTTTTTTTTTTTTTTTTTTTTTTGGTTAAACATATATTGAATTGTAATTTCTTCTAACTTTTTATATGAGCATAATGAATTCTAACCAATTACAATAATTGAATTGATTATTCCAATAACAAACGAAAGAGTAGGGTATGAGGCTATGAGCCTAATCATGCACCATAATCATCAATATTCCAACATGACAACAAATAACCTACTCAATCATAACTGCACTATCCAGCTCAAAAAAAATCATAACAGCACTAAAATCTCAATACAACCGAAAACAGAGAGAAAAAGAGAAACGTGAAGAGAGAGAGAGAGAGAGAGAGAGAGCACTGCCCCTATCCTGGCTCGAGCAACAACCCACCCTTGCCAAAATTACGAAAGAATAAACCTAGACAATGAAACCAAAGTAACCATCACCACAGCTACAGAAGGAGGGAGAAGAGTTCCCGATGAAGACGAAGCCGAGCGCGATGGTGTTGTAGTGGTGGTTGTTGTTGACGGAGTGGTGGTTGGCGTTGACGGAGTGGTGGTTGGCGTTGACGGAGTGGTAGTTGTTGGAGAAGGGGTGGTGGTGGAAGGCGGAGATCCCGAGGGTGCAGTGGTGGAGGCGGCAGTGACGGTGACAGATAGCTTCATGCCACTGCCACAGTGACCAACTACACCACATATGAAGTAACGAGTCCCGGTGGCCTTGAGAGGAATGCTGGTGGACCCACTACTGTCTGTGTTGATCGCATTGCCTACTGTGCAAGACTTGTAGTCGCTTCCACTCACTTCATCTACGGTGTGCCCACTTCCATAATTGAACACTACCACCCAAAAAAAAAAAAAAAAAAAAAAAAAAACAAACAAAAACAAACAAAAATTTATTACATATTGGTAATTATAAAATTTATGATCAGGTCACGTTTGTTTTAAAAAATATGAGCGATTTCGGATGACCATCTTATCATGACTTATAATATGAATAGTTTAAATTAAGGTGAGTTTAGAATTAGCTCACAACAAAATATTCGAACGTAAAGGTGATAAATGAATCAAACAATTCAAATTCAACTCATGTTAAACTCGTTAAAATCTCATTCTCAAGTTTGAATAATCAATTATCCGTTCGACTTGGTTCAATAAGTATAAAATTATATAAAAATACTAAGCGACTTAAACTCAGCTGGACAAAAACTTGTTTGAGATCAACTCGAAAGCTTAAAGAACCAAATTTAAATAAATTTTGAAATTCATTAAAATTATCAAACCAAATTTAAATAATTAATTGTTTGGCTCATTCGACTTGTTTATCACTCTTAATTAGACGAGTCCGACTGGTTTTGTGGTTAGGAAAGAAGCCACTTATGGATAATTTGCTTTTTGTCAGAGTACTGATATATAAACAAAAATTGTAGACATAGTAGTGTTATAGAATTATGAAATTATCACTTTAATAAAATAAAAAAAAAACCATTTTAAATATCACACTTTTCATAAATTATTTTGTATAAAAATTTTGGAACAATATATGTCTCTAGTATACTCTTCACACAATCGCATATTAAGATTTTTGTATTTTGAAATTTCCATCCAACCATGTGAATGGAAGAGAGATTTTAGAGATGGAGAATTGAGTTTTTGTGACATTATTAATACATGTTTAGTAAGAATAACATTGTTTGGGGGGAGGGAGATAAAAGAACTTACTGAGGCTGTCACCAACAGTGAAGGTCTTGCCGCTAGTCCAGGTGCT